CACACACACACACACACGCACACACTCACACGCACACACACACATGCACACACACACACGCATACACACACACACACAGAAAAAAAAACACCACCAATTCTCTCTCTCTCTCTCCCTCTCTCCCTCTCTCTCTCTCTCTCTTTCTCTCTCTCTCTCTCTCTCTCTCTCTCTCTCTCTCGATCGGATTAGTGGGGATCCAATCCAGCGCAGCAAAACTATTCGTAATTTCCATAGATTTCAAAAAAAAATAAACGAAAGAAGGTGGGAAATGTATGGTTCCCTCCCACCAAACATCCCTACCCAGATTGGTGGGGATCGAATCCAGCGCAGCAACCTATTCGCCATTTCCGTACATTTGAGGAAAAAAACGAAAAAAGGTGGGAGAACTGTGGTTCCCTCCCACCAGTCGTCCCTACCCTGATTAGTGGGGATCGAATCCAGCGCAGCAACTTATTCGCCATTTCCATAGATTCAGGAAAAAAAAAACGAAAAAAAAAAGGTGGGAGATCAATGGTTCTCTCCCACCAATCATCCCTACCCACATTAGTGGGGATGGAATCCATTCGCAGCAACCTATTGGCCATTTCCATACATTTCCGGAAAAAAAAAACGAAAAAAGGTGGGAGAAATGTGGTTCCCCATTTCCATAGATTAAAAAAAAAAAAAATGAAAAAAAGGTGGGAGAAGTATGGTTCCCTCCCACCAACCATCCTGGTACCATGATTAGTGGGGATCGAATCCAGCGCAGCAACCTATTCGCCATTTCCATAGATAAAAAAAAANTATGGTTCCCTCCCACCAACCATCCTGGTACCATGATTAGTGGGGATCGAATCCAGCGCAGCAACCTATTCGCCATTTCCATAGATAAAAAAAAAAAACAAAAATCGAAAAAAGGTGGGAGAACTATGGTTCCACTGATCCTCGCCCCATCCCTACCCTGATTAGTGGGGATCGAATCCAGCGCAGCAACCTGTTGGCCATTTCCATACATTTCAGAAAAAAACAAACGAAAAAAGGTAGGAGAAATGTGGTTCCCCATTTCCATGGATTTGAAAAAACAAAAATCAGAAAAAGGTGGGAGAACTATGGTTCCATCCCACCAACCATCCCTCCCCTGATTAGTGGGGATCGAATCCAGCGCAGCAACCTATTCGCCATTTCCATACATTTCATAAAAAAAAAACGAAAAAAAAGGTGGGAGATCAATGGTTCTCTCCCACCAATCATCCCTACCCACATTACTGGGGATCGAATCCAGCGCAGCACCGTATTCGCGATTTCCATAGATTTAAAAAAAAAAACGTCAAAAAAAGTGGGGAAGGGAATATGTTCTCTCCCACCAATCATCCCTGCCCACATTAGTGGGGATCGAATCCACCGCAGCAACCTGTTCGTCATTTCCATACATTTAAAAAAAAAAAAAAAACGGAAAAGGTGGGAGAACTATGGTTCCCTCCCACCAACCATCCCTGCCCTGATTAGTGGGGATTGAATCCAGCGCAGCAACCTATTGGCCATTTCCATACATTTCAGAAAAAAAAAAACGAAAAAAGGTGGGAGAAATAGGGTTCCCCATTTCCATACATTTGAAAAAAAAAGAAAATAAAAAAAAGGTGGGAGAACTATGCTTCCCTCCCACCAACCATCCCTACCCTGATTAGTGGGGATCGAATCCACCACAGCAACCTATTCGCCATTTCCATAGATTTAAAAAAAAATAAAAAAATCGGAAAAAGGTTGGAGAACTATGGTTCCCTCCCACCAATCATCCCTACCCAGATTAGTGGGGTTCGAGTCCAGCGCAGCAAACTATTGGCCATTTCCATACATTTCAGAAAAAAAAAACGAAAAAAAGGTGGGAGAAATGTGGTTCCCCATTTCAATAGATTTCAAAAAAAAAAAAATCAAAAAAAGGTGGGAGAACTATGGTTCCCTCCCACCAACCATCCTGGTACCATGGTTAGTGGGGATCGAATCCAGCGCAGCAACCTATTCGCCATTTCCACAGATTAAAAAAAAAAAAAAAAAATCGAAAAAAGGTGGGAGAACTATGGTTCCCTCCCACCAACCATCCCTACCCTGATTAGTGGGGATCGAATCCAGCGCAGCAACCTATTGGCCATTTCCATACATTTCATAAAAAAAAAACGAAAAAAGGTGGGAGAAATGTGGTTCTCCATTTCCATAGATTTGAAAA